TATATAAAATATGACATCTAAATATATTAGTTGTCAAATGTGGACTATTAGTCACAATAATGTGTCAAACAAAATCATTTTGGGCCAAAATATAATATAATATTATATTAACATTAATTTAAATGGGACAAAATCTGGTCCAGTGGGCTAAAATATAAATGTGGGCCTAATTTTTAGTTCGTTCAGCCCATCTGCCAAACAAAAAAGCCTTGTGTCCATTTTGTTAAAGATATAAGCGGACGGTGGAGATTGATGCACTCTCAATCGACGGCCATAATTTCATCTCATTGGCTATAAATACCGAAAAAGTCGGAAATGAGGGTTCACTTCTCACCTCATTTCCACCGCTCCAACTTTCCCTTTATATTTTCTCTCCAATTTTTTTTTATTTGCTATTAATTTCAGTAATTCAATTTGGTTATTTGATGTAATATTTTGAAGCAATCGATATGCTTCCGATCTTGTAAATGATTATATTGTTTGTAATTTTTTTTTTTTACATACATCGATTCGTATGCAAGAGAATCGTGTAATTTTATGTAGAATTTTCAGTTTCTCTCTCGCAATTTTGGATCTTATAGTTTATAAATTGCGTATTATGGCCGGAGACACCAAGATTCCGTTGTATGTGAAAAGTACCGCATCGGCATAGTATGGGTAAGCTTAAGATCCGCATGGCCAGATTTCGATAAGATCCGCATCGCCGGAGTTTGAGATGATTGGGTAAGATTATTGCCGGATTTTTTCAGTTTCATTACAGTGGCGTTCATTTTTTAACATTTCGATTTTTTTTCTTACATTATTTTTCACTCAAATTTTTTTTTTTCCGATATGTTTTGATAAGATCCGCATCGCGTCAGCTATCTTACGCTTCATATCCGCTTCACCGGAGTTGGGTTAACCGGAAATTCTTTTAATTGTGTAAGAGACTCACCGGAGATTCCCAGTATGTTTACCTTTGCTCAAATGTTGATTCACTTGAATTTGTTTTGATTACATTATTTACATTTAATTGGGCAAAAATTTGAATGCTTAAATATAAATGCACATTATTGATTGGAAAATTGCATATTAATAATTAACATATTGCACATTAAAATATTCTCAATTCGAATTATTACATGTTTTTCCTATTATTTTTTCTTATTTTAAAATATCGATCGTCTTGGTTAGATACCGGAATTATTTTTTTAAAATAATTGAACCGATTGAATCATATAAAAATATTATTTTTTATATTTATATATAAATATATTGGGTATTTTCAACCATAAATAGTATAAAAAATTAAATAATTTTTAAATACCATATATATATTCATATATAAATAAGTAATAATTTCGATTGTTTTTAGTTTATTTCGGTTAACTGACCGAATGACTCGATCATTTTAGTTCGATAGTAGTTTAGTTTGATACGAATTATTAAGAATGATTGAGTGCACAATAGTGTTGAACAAATTGCACATTAACGATTGTCGAACTGCACTATAAAGACACATTAAAAATCTTGGCTCAAAATTTTATATTTTGATTCATTTATCAGTTTTTACTTTTAAGAACTTTGTAACTTCAGTTCAATATCAGTATTATTTTTCAAAAAAAGGGAAAAAAAATCAATAAAACTATGTGAAAATAATATTATTATTAATAGTACTTTTTATATTTATATGTACTGCAAGATCATTATATTATTATATAAATTGCACTATGATGACTAACAGATAAAAATTAATAAAAATTGATAGATAAAAATATATTTTAATTATTTAGGTTAATTCGATGTATAACTATATCTATAAAAACTAGTTATTAAATACACATAATTTATCTAGAAATGTATAAATTAAGGCACTTTATATAGTGTAATGTTGCACTTTATATAACAACACATTGCACCTTACACCACAACACGTTACACATTATAACCACACTCCACAGTTAATGTCAATAGCTCTCACAAAAAATATAATGTGATATTATTCTAAAAAATTAATCTACATATTACTTTGATAGGTAAGGGATCATATGAGAATGACTCTTAATGCAACAAATGAGAAAATGTAAAATATATTTTTATAACACAAATAATAAACTAAATTTAACCAACCAAATAACAAAAAAAAAAAAAAAAAAATGCCTCAATTATTTAGGTTGATTTGGTGTACAATTATATATACTAAATCTAGTTTTAAAAAATACATTATTTATATGAGATCATACAAAACAATACACTTTATATGTCGGTATGATGCACTTTATAAAACATCTCGTTGCACTTTATAAAATGACTCGTTGCACTTTATCAACACACTCCACAATCAACGGATAAAACACGGATAAACATAAATCTAAAAAACGGACACACAAATTACGTTAACATCAATCACATCGTTTATGCACATAAAACACGAGCACGCTAACGTACCAAAACTACTTCATTTCACTTATACATCAACACAGTGCACTTTAATCGCATTGCGCTTTATAAAACAACACGTTGCACATTACCACCACAATACACAAATAATGTCAATACTTCCCGTAAAAAGTAATACGCAATATAAATTTAGAGAAACAGATCTACATAATATTTTAATATTAATCACATCACCTATACATAAAAAAACAAAGCATGCTAACATACCAAAATTTCAGTTTTGTATTTTATATATCAATACTTTGCACTTTATACAACAATACGATGCACTTTATAGCACAACATGTTGCACCTTATAAAATTACACGATGCACGTACTAAAAATTCAGTAATTTTGCTAATCAGTTGAATAATATTAGTTGATTAAATGTCGAATTTAGTTTTTTTTTAATAAATAAAATAACTGAACATCCTGAGTTATATGAAAAATATTACCAATTTTATTATTATTTAATAATCTTTTATGAAAAATAATATTATTTTTTATCTATATTTTTTAATGTATCAATATGTTGCACTTTATATAATATTATATTGACTTTGTAACACAACATGTTATACCTTGTTAAACAACACGCTACACTTATCAAAAATACAACCAAAATTAAGTAACTATGCTAATCGATCAACTAATATTAGTTGGTTAAGGTCAGATTTATTTTTTGTAAAAAAATAAACAAAATAACCGAATATGTCGAATTATATGATAAATATTACTAATTTATTTATATTTTTTTTATAAAACTCAATAATATTTTCTTATATGTATTTTTTAAGTATTGTGATTGCACATTACGGTTATACGGAGCGCACTTAAATATATACCAGATTGCAAAAAAATTGAACAAGATTCAAACAAACAAAAATTTCGTACAAATTTTTATATTCTTGGTTCGATTATTATTATTATTATTGTTATTATTATTATTTCCTTTAAATGTCGTTTAGTTCGGTATGATGTCATTTTTTTATCAAATAACCGAAATAAAAAAAACGATATTTAAAATATTAATTTTATATCTTATTTTTTTATTTAGATAATCGAAATCATGGAACGGCCGAGCTTCATAAAGAATACTATTCTCTATTTATTATGTATATTTAATTCAATAAAAAACTATAAAAAATATTACATATTAGATGAAATGTTAAAATATATTATTTTGTTATACTTTTTCAAACTTTGCAATTGAGTCCTTTAACCATATCTAATTTTCAAAAAAAGCCCCAAAATTCTAAAAATGAAAATTTCCTATCGACAAAACAATCAAATTCAGTACAAATCAATGAAACACACCATCTTCTACTCCATCTCAGCCCCAAATTCGATCAGTGCCAAAACAATCAAAAACTACTCACTACTCCCCAAATTCCCAGATCTCAACCCCAATTTCTCCTCTACCAACACCCAGCTGTCAATCGCGGTCATCCCGCCCCAATCGCCGCGACGTGAACCGCGAGTCAGCCTGAGCCTCCACCTCGTAGGGCTCCTCGCCGGAGCTTCTTGCAGAGAGGAGACGGGAGCAGCGACGGTGGACGTCGGCTTTGCAGGGCGGCAGAGCACCACCCATTCAGAGTCAGGACGGCGGCGAAGGGTGATGCCGGGGACCGCAACCACTATGAAGTCCCAGACGGAGGACATGGCAGAGGCACGCACGGCGGAGGTACCCTCAGATGCACGGCGGAGGCACTACCGGAGCAATCTCCTGAATCTCGGCAGTCTTTGGCGGGCGGCGGAGAAACGGCGGAGGCACGCCGGAGATATGGCGGATGCCGAGGGAGGTATGGCGGAGGTCGGTGAAAGCTGACGGAGGTACGGCTGAAGTCGACAGAGGCGCGGCGGCAGCCTCCGGCAGGCTGGGCTTCTGTGCGTGTGTGTGTGTGTGTGTGTTTGTGTGTGGGCTGAGTGTGTGCGTGTGTATTGTGTGTGTTTGTGTGTGTTTGAGTGGATATAAATATTAGGGTTGGTAGGTTAGTGTGTAATGACCGGATTGTCCCTATTGAGTAGTCAAATATGTATATTGACCACAATACTATGTTAATTTACCATATTGCCAATAATGATTGACCAATTTTGACTTGATCAAGACCATTGATGTGTTGGATCTAATGATCCAGACTCATTCTCATTTCTCGCATTAAGAGTCATTCTCATATGATCCTTTCTATATATATATATATATATATATATACCCTCTTCTTATATATATATATATATATATATATTTGATAATATTTATATTTTTTTATACAAAAATAATATTTTTTTATTAAAAAAGGGTATATTTGATATTTTTCCCTCATGGACATCACGTGTGTTACACCAACTCACTACATCTCTCACCATGCGGGCCCCACCACATGACCTTTCCTTTCATCTTCCCTCATCTCTAACTCCTCTCATTCACGATCCCACCAGGTCATCTTCCGTCGGCGCCGTCCACCGACGACGCTACCACCGACGGCGCCGCCGCCACCATTCTAAAATTATTTTTCCGTTCGTCGCCTCCGTCAAGTTGTAATACCACCCGCCCCACTCGGCCCTCTTCCCCTACGCCGGCATGAGCCACCTCCTCTCACTCCTCCGGCAAGCCGCCACCATCTCCCCCGCAGTCTCCATGTCACAATCATCACCGTCCACCCGATCGTTGTCACCTCCGAATCCAACCACCTATTCGCCTTCCTCTTCGTTCACCTCTTCGTCCATCCTGGCGAGCTGCACACGCCGGCTGTCGCCGCCATCCAAATCCCAACGTCGGCTTCTTCCTCAATCGATTGGTCCAAATCCATCCCATCGTCGTCGCCTTCCAGATCCCGCCGCCACCATCGTCTTATCGCTCAGTCGCCCCGTCCAAATCCCGTCATCGCCAGCGCCTCCGTCCAGATCCGCCGCCGGATAGATAGCCGCTGCTAGAGTTTATCACACATCAATTACAAATTCAGAAATCACAATTTGTACTGTTGGGTTAATTGAGTACTAGTACGTAACCCGTGCGATGCACGGGATGTAAAACTTGGAAGAATAATATAACCTCACATGCATTAGGATCGAAATTGAAATCATTAAAATACAAGGAACATTGTTGAATCATAAAAAGTTCGGTAACAATCATATATTATTAAAAACCTCCTTGTACACAACATTATGAGTTTGATTATTTGGTAACTCCTCATTATCACAAACTAATATTTTCAAAAGAGACAAATCCTAAAAATCAAACTAATATTTTTGGTGAACAAACTAATATTTTAGGATTGGTGAACATACTAAAATTTTAGGATTTCTAGGATTTATCTCTTTTTGGTGAACAAACTAATATTTTAGGATTGGTTATATGAATAAGGCTACCTATTTTTGGTGTTCTTTTCATTCATTTTCATTCAAACAATCCGATGGCTTGTATAATGAAATCCGAATCTTAAGCCGAAATATTTAGAAAAAGAGTTTTTAAAAATTGAAAAGTCAAGGCAATCAGTTCAGATTAATTAAAGGTCAAAGAATATCCGCTCCATGAAATAAAGACGTGTGTTATCATTAACCAAATATCCGATTATTGGTATAGAGTGGTTACCAAAAAATAGAACGCGATAAGGACGCTTCATGGAAATATCAATGGGATAAGGTCATAACAGATCGCTATACATTTTAACGATAAAAGCTCAGATGGAATGATTTATGATAATTATATTGAATTAATTAGAAGTGTGAAAATGACAAAATTAATGAAAAGTGTGAAAAAGACATAATTAATGAGAAGTGTGAAAAGGACAAAAACTTACCAGTTTTGGAAAATATTTAATCAAATCCGATATTGACCACAATTTAACCTACTATATTGGATAAATGTTAAGTCTTATTATATAAGTATAGATATGGTTTTTTAGAATCCAATTTCACAACTTTAGATTTTCACGAAGCCAACTCAGATTTTTTGTGGGGCTATATTTTGAAAATTTGAGAAGCCTGAAGGGCTTATATACAATTTTAATAGTTTTAGCTATATTACAATTTAGTTTATGGGTTGAATATGTAATTTATTAAAATTTAACAAATCAAAATACTGATAAATGAGTTGCATATTATTTCGTATGATATGTAAATATAATAAAACCAGTTAATTGTACAATATAAACCAGTTAATTGTACTTTGATTGATCATGATGGTTTGTTCATCCAGAAGGATGTGTTGTGCCAGATTCTAAACTGAAACTTGGTGTGACTTGGGATGAAACTTGGTGTGACTTGGGATCATATTTGCAATTGTTTTGAAATGGAACCTTTACTTTGATAGCAAAATAAATAAATAAATAAAAATTGTACAATATGTATGGATATGCATATGAAAATAACTTTTTTTTTTTTAATATAAACAACAAGTTATTTCAATTAATTAGATAGTTTCAGTTAAATCGGTTCGTTGTCAGTATGGATTTGCACATGAAAATAACCCACATTGCAAGATGCACTATAGTTTTAAACGGGATGCACATTAGGTGACAATCAAACTGCACTAGTGTTAGATCAAATAATATTAATTCGTAATGCATACCAAAGTAACCGCATCACTATACCAGTGTGCATTTTCATAAATACCACAATACTAAGTATAATTTTATAGTACAAATTATAAATCGTTTGGATTAACTCGATTAATCGGTCGAATAAATCAATTATTCCGGGTTGATTTTTGTTTGGGTTGAAACAAATAATTAAAAATATTTGTGATGTGAGTGCACGATAATATTAGACGAATTACACATTATGACTATCACAATGCACAATAGTGAATGTAGCCAAAAAGCTAAAAATTTTGGATTGAAATATTTCGATTCGAATATCTATTTTTACTTTAAAAACGTCAGTTATTTTAGTTTGATGTCATCTTACTTTTTTTATACCAAATAACCGAACCAAGCGAACTATACGAATTATTATTATTATTATTATTATTATTATTATTATTATTATTATTATTATTATTATTATTATTGTTATTGTTAATTATACATTTTTCATGTGCTGCAAGTGCACGATATTATTAGGCAAATTGCACATCAGTTATTATCAGATTACACAATAGCGACCTAAACCCAACAAAACTAAATTTTTTAGTTCGAAAATATATATTATGATCGACTATATGTGTTTACTTTCAGTTTTAAATGATAATTATAACTTTATAAGTATATTTAATAGTTTAATTATGTTATTTTGATTAGATCAGATAACTGACCGAATAAATTGATCATTTATGTTTAGTTTTAATTTGATTTGGAAGAAAAATGTTGTTAGTTCGATTATTATATGATAGAGTGCACATTAGCGACCAGTGTAGTGCACAATAGTAGTAGACAAATTGCACATTAATGGCTCTCATACTGCATACCTACAATCGAAATTGACGGATTCGAAACTGTATATGTGAGTTCGATTACCTTTTTAATTTTTACAATTTCAGCTATATTAGTTCAATGTCGACTTTGTTTTTTTTTTTGTTTTTAATTTACTTATCAATAGTTTATATTTATTAAGTTTCTAATAATATATTGTTAAACATTTATAATATATTGTTAAAACATAATAGTGTTTGACTTAGTGCACATTAACGTACGGTAATGCAAGTTAGCATTCGATTTAGTACGATTGTCTTTATTTACAAAAAAAGAAGGTAAAAAAAAATAACGCAATCGACCAAACAAATATAAAAAATATATATTTTTATATATATACAATAAATAATGTATATATATATCCAAAATTGAAATGCACATGAAAAATACACGCTTAATATCTTGCACAATCATGTTATACTAGATGCACATTAATGCATGTGTGCTTGCACTTTATCGAGATCGGTATTTTGTATATTACATTTTCTATGACAAAAAAATAATATATAAAAAAAAATAATATTTCTCACATACTAAATATAATTTTAATATAAATAATAAATTAATGGGATTATTTAGGATAATGGAAATACACATTATTAGAGGTTTGTATAATTGAAAATGAACTTAACAAAATATAATTCTATAGAATGCATAAATAAAAGTTAAAATAAATGCACATTAATACATGTTGGAATGCACAATAACAATGATGGTATTTTATGTTTATGTATTTTCAAAAATAAATATATATAATATTAGATATATATATTAAAAACTTAAAATATTTTTTATAATATAAATAAAAAATTATTTTAATTATTTAAGGTACCTCGGTTAACCGAATATTATGGTTGGGTTTTATTTTGTTTGAAATAGTGCTAGACATATTGCACTTTGATGACCATCAGATTGCACAATATTGTTATTTTTTTATTATTATCGGAAGTTATTATTATTATTATTTATATCTTTTTTTGTATATTGTGAATAAACATTACTATGGTTATTGAATAATATGAAAAATATTATTTTTATTATTTTAATTTTTCTTATGTATAATGGGTGCACCGTATGGTTGTATGAATTGCACCTTAGTGACTATTGGATTGCACCTTAGTGTTAGACGAAATGCACATTATTGACTAACAGGTTGCACAACAGGGACCGAGTCGACTGAAATAAATTGTTTGATTTGATATTTTGTATTTCGGTTCGATTATTGTGTATATACTGTTAGTCTTTTGTTAGTATGTAATATATATTTCAATGAAATGTATTACATGTTTAGAAAGTTCGGTTTATTGTAATTTTTTTTTTCAAAATTTCGAATCAATTATTTCGATTTTGAAAAATTGGTAAAACAGACCGATGAACTATATTCTACATTCTATATATTTTTTTTGTAACTTTTAACGTGTAATACACGCATTATATTGTGTATTGTACCGAACATTATTGTGCATTAATTGAATTTTTATTAAATTGCATATTTGCCTAACACACTAAATTAAAATATGTTAACATATGATAAACTGCACTCAAGTCCCTTTAAGTTATCAAATTTACAAAAAGAGACCCAAAATTCATGGACTAAATCTCTGGCGGCAACAAAAGACCCACAGTTCAGCCTTCATCTCTCCCAATTTCCATTCCTTCATATCATCCTTCATCTCTCCCAGTTTCCAATCGCTGGCTTCCAACGCCGTCATCAAGATCGAACAATTCGTGTCTCTTCTCGACAAGACTCATTGTGTTGGTCACGCCCAATTCAGCCGCGAGCTGCTCTCAATTTCGGATCGATGTCGGCCAGTGCACTAAGACTCTTAAGATCGGGTCGGGGAAGATCGAGCGGAAGAATACGTCAACGACCATCACCTTCGCGTCTCCGGCGGCGACGGTCCAGGTCGTCGCTGATTGGGGGCGTGAACGGCCTACGACGGTGTGGACTGGGTGAGAGGTGGCTGAGACTGGGTCGGCGTCCACTGGACAGGTATGGCACGCATCGGCGTCGGGTTGGTGGCCGGCTGGCGGCGGGTCAGGTAGTGGTGGCCGACAATCGTGCGAGAGAGTTGTGTATGTGTGTGTTATTTGTGTGTGAGAGATGATGGGTGGGTTTGTGCTGGCCGGTCGGTGACGGTGGTGGAGGACGGTGGCGACGGAATCGAACGGGCGGATGCCGGCGGCAGATACAGTGCTGGTGCCGATTGTGTGTGTGTGTGTGTGTGTGTCTGCAAATCGAATTGTGAGAAATCAGAAAGAGAGATGGTGAATCGTGAAAAAATAGATAATAGATATTAAATGGTGAGTGGGTACCACGTAATATATGTGTATTTACTAATTTATCCCTTAATTATTGGTCAAATGTACATATTTGACCCACTATGATCAAATAATTACCAGATTGCCATTAATGATTGATCATAGTTTGACTTCATCATAACCATTCATATGATTGATCCGATGGTTCAGATCCATTCTTATTTCTTTCACTATCTACCGTTCTCATGTGATCCTAACTATATATATATAGGGAAGGGTTCTAATAAGAACCCTTCTTAGTGTGAGAACTAGGAACCAATAACAACCCTTCATTGTTGTAGTTTGGACGGGACGGAATTTGACCTATTATAGTAGCAACAAAATAACAAAAATCAATTTACTAATAGCAGGAGGGTAAATTAGGAACAATAGACTTGGGAGAATCATTGTAAGATGCTATATCCGGATTTTCGGGAAACCGAATAGTCACGTAGAAGGCAACTCTATCAATCAAGCAAAACAATATGACACCAAAAAAAAAAGAAAAATCTTATTGCACCTTTATTGCTACGATTACAGCTCTTTACAGGAAATAAAATTGCCGTCGCGACAAGTTTCGGAGCCCGAATTATACCGACCGACGCATGGTGTAGCTTTTGAACAGGGGTAAAAAAAGTGCTCGTGAACAAGTGGTACACCGTCGGACGCGTGAAAGGTGAGTTTTTTTTTGTTTTTGTTTCTATACATTTTCAGTGATAGCAGTTGCATTGGCTCAGAAAAATTGAAATTTTTTACAGTCATATTTGGGAAAAGAGCACATTTTAGTTTCTTAATTTTAGCGAAGTTTATTTTTTATGCCTCTGCTTTTATTCGAATTTGTTGCGTTTATTCTGAGGAGATTAAATTTAAGTTTGTTAATAAGATATTCACTAAGCACGTCTTTAAAAAAATCCAAACATTTTCCATTACTCTCTGAAGCTTAGTATTTTTTATATATATATATATAATTTTTTTTTAATGAATGCTTAGAAATTAAACTTCATCTTCTGTTTTAGAATAAGTTAGTGCTTCCTTTAATGGTGATATGTAGGACATGTGCAGAAAATTATAATATTTTGTTTAATTTCTATTTGAAGTAATTTTTGCTTGATTAACAATTTGAGAGTGGTACAGTTAGTATGTAGTATATGCTTCGTGTTGCATTCTATTGTGCTAATTATATTGCAACTTGTTGCAACTTATTATTTTTTATGAACTTTATGTTTTAGAAATTTGAAATTTTTGAAATTAGGCCAATATAAAAATAATAAAATACAAATATTGATATTTATATCTGCATCTTTTCATTATATTTTGTTATTTTAAACTCGTTGAACATTAGCATATAGAATATGCTACTTTTGCATTCTATTGTGCTAATTATATGGCAACTTGTTGCAACTTATTATTTTTTATCAACTTTATGTTTTAGAAATTTAAAATTTAGGCCAATATAAAAATAATAAAATACAAATATTGATATTTATACTTGTGTCCTTTCATAATATTTTGTTATGTTCAACTCGTTGAACATTAGCATATAGAATATGCTACTTTTGCATTCTATTGTGCTATTTATATGGCAACTTGTTGCAACTTATTATTTTTTATGAATTTTATGTTTTAGAAATTTGAAATTTAGGCCAATATAAAAATAATAAAATATAAATATTGATATTTATATCTGCATCCTTTCATAATATTATTGTGCTAATGTTATGTCAAGTTGTTGCATATGACCTTTTTAGATAAACTTTATTCTTTAGAAATACTAAAACCTTGCACCCAAAATCATCACCAGGTTAGGAACAGCCTCGACCGCCCTTAGCAAAGGTGCATCAACAATTTTATGTTATTAGTTCTTATATACTGGGAGTTAATTCTTTCACTGCATCCAAAAACATTATATAACATTAGAAGGGGAACAAAATCATTATTAAAATGTATATAAAAAGGTCTCAGCAGGTTGAATCCCACGTTTCTCAGTTGCCACCTTTTTTTTCTTTTTTTTTTTATTTGTTTGGCGAAATACTTGTAGTCAAAATGTCAACATTTAATCTAGAAATGTTAAACTTTATCGATATTGTATAGACTTGCATTGTATCAATTTTTTGATAAATGTTGCTTTTAATTTAACAAATATGGGCTATTTTGAATATATGAACGTGCTAAGTTATATTTGTGATATTGATATTTATTAGATGTGCTTCAATTATAACACTTTATGTTTTTATGTTTATCTATTCAATATAATGTTGCTTCATGGATATTTTTTACCTCTAAAATGTTGGTAATATGAATAAAATTATATTTGAGATATTTTGTATTCACTTATGCTAGATTTTCCCCTACATGAAGCAATAAACTTTATGAATTTATTCTTGAACACATGTTATTTCTAACTTTTTGCAAAGGTGATTCAATGGTGAACTACAAGCATCATGGTGAACCATATGTAGCTGAAGAAATTATGAATGAAGCCAATGACACAGAAGTTGAAACTGTGGGTGGTGGTGCAACATATGAACTTAATAATGACGAAAGTGGAGATGAGTCGGATAGTGATTATTCGGAGAATGATGAGGAACAACAGGCTTACGATAAACTCAAAAGCAGAACTTGCCCCCAGGTGTTGGTTAGTTCCTGCAAGAAAATGAATGCCGCACAGAAAAGAGCAATTAATGAGATTGGCTTTGGAAGTATATTCCATCTAAGTGTGTACAAGTTACCAAGAAAATTTGGATACTAGTTGCTAGACAATTTTCAACCCAAGACATGTGAGATAAAGCTACAAAATGGACGTAGTGTGCATATTGAATCTAAAGATGTAGCATTGGTCTTAGGGTTTCCAAATGGTGAGCGTGCTATACAAAAGAAAAGGAAACACGAACAATGCTCATTACTTGAAGAGTGGGGTGGGAAATTCGTAAAAGACAAGAAGAAAATTCTTCCCACTGATGTTTCAGCTCAAATGTTGTCCAATCAGGATGGGGGCTTATGGTTCATTCGACATTTTTTGGTTCTTCTCACCTCATGTTTGATAGAGACATCAGGAACTGGATATATTTTACCTCAAATAATGTCCCACTTCAGCAATACAAGTGCAGCCCAACATCTCAATTGGTGTGACTATGTGTTGGAGTGCTTGGTTAACCATCACTTAACTTGGGCAAAAAACAAGAAAAAAAGTTTCAACGGGCCGATTTTTTTTCTGATGGTACGTCTCTTACTTTATAAGTATTTAATATAAACATTAAATGACATTTATAAATATTAAAATTGACATGTTTTTAAATCTTATTAGGTGTATGGTATTAGATAAAACTAATATTAACAAGTTTTTTATTATTGTAGCACTACTTTTAATGAAACAATAATTGTTAATAAATACTTTTTATAATGCAGATGTTTTATGTTGATCGGGTTGTCATTTACAAAAGAATTGTACCTAGAGGTTTGCCATTGGTAAGAGGGTGGACAAACAAATTACTACGAGACAGGCAAAAGACAGAAATTAGATCTGGCGGATTCGGGGGTGGGTACCCAAGCAATCAACACAAATCAAATGAAGGCTCGGTCTATGAAAATGTTGAGTTTGCTCAAAATTCATCATTTGCACTGGTGGAAGAAGCTCCAAATACCCAGCTTGATGGCAATACCAATTCATATGCAGCTGAAACATTTATGTCGGAATTTTTAAGAAAAAGCAAGATGGTTGCCGTTGCAATAGTTGACATGTTGAGGTTGGTCGAGCAGGCACCTCATAAACTGAGTGAACACTCTGACTATAAGAGGGTGGTTGACACAACGGAATCATTGTTGGGTTGCAGACCAACTGAAAATAACTTGCATAATGGTGCGGAACCATCTTTATCGCAGAACCAAGGCACACAGTTAGATGATGCATTCTGGAGCGACCCAGAAACATTAGCCATAATTGAAGAAATAGAGAATGCAATCATGAAAAGAGGTGAATTCAATAAATCTGCGAATGACATACCAAGTTTCAGCCTGGGCTTGACTCAAGAATTTGCTGATAAGATCGATGAGGTTGTCACAAAAAATGATCAGCCATCCACATTGATTCTACCACAAGTGATCTCAACGAGTATGCAATCCACAGAGAAAAAAACACCAAAAGGCACGATTGCAGATCAGAAAAACATGGTAAAGATCAACATGTACTATGAATAATATTTTCAATTTATAATTTTGATCATAATTCATGCTAGCATATCTATGAGGTAAATGGACACCAATTTAAGTATTCTGAAATATATTTATGGCGCTATTAAATGTTATGTATTATGCATCTTTTAAGTTTATTATGCTATCTGTACCTGAATTGTTTCTAAGCAACATCATTATATATATAAAATATTGTGTTGGAAAAAAACATCAACTTTTGTGGGATGTTGAATCATATTTTGTTAAAATTGTCAGCATGATTTGGTTAATTTGTTAGATATAGCACAACATGTTAGTTATAATAAGTAAAGTATTGGTGGATGCATACGAGTGATAATCAATATTATGGCAAGTACGAAAGGTGTTAAGTGCTAGTATTTATTGATAATTATGAGATATTTGTGGCTTAGGCTGTAAAGTCTTGTTGCTAATATTTATTAATAGTTGTGCTATAATTTTTTTAATGTTGTACAAAGTTAATTGTGCTATATTTTTGTCTCAGGATGTGCAGGAAACTGATAAGAGTGATAGCCCTATAGTAGTGTTTTCAGAAGAAATATTCCTACCAAATGGTCAGTCCCTAAATCAAAGAAATAAGAGAAAGAGGGAACAGGTTATTATTATTTATACTTTTATGAGTATTATTCTAATAATTGTCTTGGTGCATGCAAATGATTTTAAATGTCTAATTTCGTGCAGCTTGAACACGAGAAATGGAATTTGATATGCAGTCCACCTTTTGGTACTACTGAGCCTGCGACAGGTAGTGGCAAACAAAAGAAGAAAGTAACATTTCTTGAAAAGTCTTACCAACAAACATCCAAAGGAAATGAACAACAGGTAACCGAGATGAAACTTTTTAATCACTAATTTTATATCTATTTGGTCCTGGTATATGAAATGAGAAGGGCGAAGTTTAATAGATCACAAGGAAACATTGATGCTATCTTACTTGCGTATAGTGTTAATTTTAACATCACATAGTGCTATCTTGGTCTTTGCATAGTCTTGTTTCTAATATTTGTTGATAGTTGTGCTATATTTTGTCTAATACTGTACATATTTCGTTGCAAGTATATATTATTAATTTTGCTATATTTGTGGCTAAGGATGTGCGGGAAAATGATAATAGTGATAGCAGTCCATCTTTTGGTACTAGTGAGCATGCGATAGATAATGGCAAGCAAAAAAAGAAAGTAACACTTCTTGAAACGCCTAGCCAACAAACATCCAAAGGAAAGGAACAACAGGTAACCGAGATGAAATTTTTTAATCACAAATTTTATATCTATATTGTCCTGGTATATGAAATGAGAAGGGCGAAGTTTAATAGATCACGAGCAGCCATTGATGCTATCTTACTTGCGTATAGTGTTAATGTTAACATCACATGGTGTTATCTTTGTTTGTACATAGTCTTGTTTCTAATATTTGTTGATAGTTGTGGTATATTTTGTCTATTGTTGTACATATTTCGTTGCAAGTATTTATTGTTAATTGTGCAATATTTGTGGCTAAGGTTTTGTGGGAAAATGATAATAGTGATAGCCCTATTGTAATGTTCTCAGAACAAGTTTTTCTAACAGTGCAGTCCATAGATCAAACAAATAAGAGACAGATAAAGCAGGTAGTTATCCTCAAAATTTTTATGAGTATTATTCTAATAATTTTCTCGGTGCATGAAAACAAATTTATAGATTTCTATGATCGTGCATCCTGAACACGAGAATCATTCATTTATGCGGGGTTGTCACAATAGCAAAGGGGAATGGAAATTGATATGCAGTCCACCTACTAGTACTAGTGAGCCAGATAATGTCAAAGAAATGAAGGGATTAACTTTTCGTGATACGATTGAGCAACAAAAACTCAAAGGAAAGGAAAAACAGGTATTTGAGATGATATTTTTTTATTTTTAATTTTATTGTCCTGGCATAATAGATATGAAAAAAAGACACACTAAATGCATATATAATTAGCATTGTACACTGAAAAAAACAGCGCTATTAGTTTCTTCCACCTATGCTTAATGATTGTTTGAAGCATTCCAAAAATTTAATTGAAATTGTAAATTTGATCTCAGGAAATGTTACCTCCAACCAACCACTGTATGGAGCGCCGAAATAAAAAAGATGTAAGAAAAAGCGAGAGGCTGTTATCACCCTACCATACCCGCGTGCTAGCAGCCATATCTAAGTTCAACAAAAAAGAGAGAGATTTATGCTTCTGGATTTTGGACGACGTGGATAAAATGTATACTCTGAAACTTGATAATTACAGAAATATGTGATTAATCATTAACCATTCAACATTTTTTATTTCAGGGATGAAGCAGTATTCTCAAGTGGTCACGTTGAGTGTCTGAGACGAGACTTATTATCAATTAGACCATCACTATTTGTGAGCACTACTGTTGTAGATGTCTGGGCAACTGTTTTGAATAACCTGGAGTTGTTAAGGTCACATAGCTCGCCACTAAGATTCTTTTTTACAGTCGATACTTGTGTAAGTTTTTATGTTAATTTTTACTTAAAGCTGATATGTTAGCAGTGCAATCATTGAGTAACTATCTATTAAAAAAATTATCAAATCTATTGATAGGCTTTCACTATCGTGAACCCAGCAAAGGACTGGAGCATCGGAGTGAGACATATCATGTTTTATGACAGTATGACAGAACAACTACAAAGAGCAGACCAGCAACTTGAGAACATTGACATAGTATGAACTCAACTCATTTCAATCTACTATCACAATAAGGTAAAAATTTGACAATATATTTGTGAATAAAATGCAGCTTTTTTTTCCGATACACCAAGAAGAGCATTGCTACATTATGTGTCTAAATGTGAAGAAATTGAACATTGTGCTGATTGACAACTCAACTTCTACAACGAATGGTGCTATTGAGGTCAAATACTCTGATATACCAAGTACACTGGTAAACAAAAATATGTGATTAGACTTTGTAACTTTTTGTACTTATTTATTAGTTGCCCACTTATAATTTGAAAATTAAATAATTTCAATTACAGGTTATGATGGTCTGTGAATATTTGGATTTGAAGGGGCTAATGAGCAAATCTGTTGCCCTAAAAAAAGCAAAAATTGAAAGATTGCAACTCCCTTGGGCGTTAGATAATAATAAAATTGATTGCGGAGTTTACGTCATGCGCCACATGGAGACCTACATGGGAGATAGCGTCAAGAACTGGAAAGTTGGGTTGAGAAAGAATAATGCAAACCAACTGAAGTACTTAAGAGCGAAGTACTGCGCTACGATATTGTTAGCTGATATCAACATTCATAAGGAACACAACTTGTATGCGGCAGATTTGCACTATAGAATCTCAAAATCTAGGGGTTCAATAGATGTTGAGAAGTTGTGGATCGGTCAGGCACATAATGAACAGTGACCTTATTAGTCTTCTTATGGTATCTACTGCAAGTTGTTTTGAACAATTGTTTTGTTTACACTATTTTGCATTGAGTACATTAGTTGCATAGATTGATGGGAGTTTGAATTGATGGGGGTATATTATTATTTTACTTTGAATACATGTTATTTCATGGTTTGTTTTTATGAATGACTTTGTTTATACAAATGGAAATTGTATCATAAGCAAAAGATAGCAGGTATTTAATAACAAATTATAATTATTGGACATTTTTCAATAAAATGCTATATTTGAATCTACATGACAATCTTAACTAAACTCATAATGTAAATGATGCTATCAATCATTCATTTCATTGCTAATAATTGCATTTAATAATGCTAATATGACAAATAATATGTTAGTGAAATTGATTTGATAAATGATAAACACACCATTAACTCCATACCTCAGCTGTAGCACAAAAAAGGATTAATAAGAGTTCCATCAATCTTTTTTCCCACAAAATACTTTGCATAAACTAATCTATTATACACATACTATTAATTAAACAAAAAACAGAAAATGTATATAATATAGATGGTCTTCATGCACAGAATGCAAGATTAGAATATGCAATGAACAACAAAAATAATGTACAACCAAAAACAGGGCAAAAATTGCACCTAAGGGAAAAAAAAAACTAATGCACAGGCATACGACAAAAAATTAGCAAAAAAATGCCCTTTTCAAGACATCGAATAAAATGAAATGCTATTGTAAGTTCCTTGGCCAATCTACAACGATGAAATGCTATCACACAAGAAGCGAAAACATATCATATTAGGATACTGCATAGACAGTGAAAAGCTACATAAAATGCCAGCTCAGCAAAGACATTAAAAGGGCAGTATGTACAGAGGCACCATGTCAAACTTTTTTTTTTTTAATTTAAACTATTAAATACCGAAAATAGAACATGGTTCCCTCATAAATAGCCTGTTTCACCCATAATTTCTCTCACAAGTTTATCAAACAGATTCTGTAAGAACCCCTGCCCAATCTTTAGCCTCATGAAAATATCAAAGAAAGAAATGATGAGGACGAAACAAAAAGAAAACTAGAAACAAATATTGAAAAAGTAGTTATAGTGAAATAGATGGTAAACGTTTGCTCTAATTATATAAGCCCCAATTGAAAGGAAATCAAAACGTAACCAGGAGTAGTGTTGTTGTTTGTTTTCAGCTCGGCAAAAATATAAAGTTTCCTCGCTCAGAGATCACGCATTAAAAGACAAAGTGGTTGAGCTTCACGACAAATGCAATTATTGATTTAGTTCTTCAGGCAATCAGCTGCTGTTATTCCTCAGCACTCACGCACCAGCATATATATGATTGTAAAAACATCTAAAATTCCTTCTACCTTGTTGATAATGTTTATACAGAAACTAAACTTATACACAAGCAGATCAGAGCATGTTAAACATATAATGACATAAAAAGTCATTAACAACATCGAAATCCGCATGTTTTACTTTGATCGTGACACCCACAAACTAATTTACAAAATTTCCACAATGCACAGGCATACCACAAAAAATTAGAAAAAAAATGCCCTTTTCAAGACATCGAAAATATAATGCTAAACAAGAAAAAAATGCTACTTTTCTTAAATTTTATGTCACAATAATAATTTTTTTAAGCTAGTTCAGCTTCTATCCCTCTGGCTATTATACCAATAGGAGGTACGTTGATGCCTAATTGCCTATTCCAATAAAATTTTCTGTAATCGACAACAACTAACAATGAAGATACACCTCAAGAAATAATGTTCCTAACCGATAAAAGTAGAACTGGTGTTTTCGGATAGAAAGTAGATTCGTCCACAACTTTCTTTTATTTCATAGAAAAAGAATCTACCTCCAGTAAGGCGCAATTTTATGCTACATGACAATCTTAACCAATCTCATAATTTAAACGATGGTATGAACCATACATTTTATTGCTAGTGATTTCATTTCATGATGCTAATTTAACGCAGAATGAGTTTGTGACATTATTTATATCAACACCGAGAAACTCAACTATTAGGAAAAGAAAAATCCACAGATAGTGCAAACCAAAACCATTAAGGAAGAAACACAATGCAAAATATATTCCTAAAAAAAAAATAATACATATTGTCTCATGGATCAACTGGAAAATTTATCACAATTTCTAGCATCATGGCTACTTTTCTGCTTACACTTACTACACATACGCAATGGCTTTTTGCTTCGTTCGATAGCCTTTTCCTTCCTAGATTTCAATCTACTTCCACTACCTTTATTTTTCACTGGGGCTGGGGGTAGCACTTCAACTTCGCTTGGCAATGGAGCTCCATAATACTTCTCAAATAAACATTTTTTCATGCCAGGATCTGATTGCTTTCCTTGAACTGACCCAATCATCTCTTTCTGATCTTTTAGGCAAGTTAGGAACCCGTTCATTAACTCTATATTACCTTCAACCATACCAATACACGAGTAAAATTCTGAAAAAATCTGGTTAGTGATGGATTTACGATCCTCGATGGCAACACATTGGTCAATTACCTCACCATCCACGACGAATATGGGTTTCAGCGATGCATGCTTTGTCCAGCGACTAACTATATATTTTTCAGGAATGCTTTCAAGCTTCAAATCTTTGAACACAAAAAATATGTGGCTGCATAATCTACCAATCCTCGTAAATTTCTTGCAAGTACATGTCGTTGTGTTCTCATTTCTCTCATAAACAACTTTAGAAATTCCAGTGAGACCATCATCAATCTCGTAGACCGAGTTTTTCTCGCCAACTACAACACTGCATACTCGACAATCAAAACAAGCAGCAACAATATCATTTTGTACATGCCCAAATATTTTTGATGTGTATACATCAGCAGCATGCCTTTCAATCAATAAAGGTGTCTTGAACTGAGGTGTATAAGACTCATTTCCCATGTTCAGCTGATCCTGGGCATGCCTCTGGGCATCCAATGCACTATCAAAATGCATAAAAAACTCAAGCAAATTAGCATATGGGTTTGAATACTTTCCAAAGAAGCTATTCTCACTTTCAGACATAGAGGTTGTCCTGAATAATCCACTCATTGAAAAGTCTCTGAAAAAAGCAGGGATCCAAAAATGTCGCATGTCAAACATTGATTTAAACCAAGCATTATCTTTCAGATCATACTCATCCATCAATGCAATCCAGCCGCCCTCAAAATCTGTTGGTTCATCTTTCTCCGACCAAACCAAATTATCTAGTTTCTTCCTAAATTCGCCATCTTTTTTTAAATGAGACGGTACCTTATCTGAAACTTTCAACATAATATGCCACATACAAAGTCGGTGCTTAGATACTGGAAATGATCGTTCAACAGCAATTTTAAGTGCTGGATCTTGATCCGTCACAATAATGCGAGGAGCGCATCCCATTGCCTCCTTGAATTTCTCTAACAACCAAGAATACGATTCAACGTCTTCTTTTGACAGCAATCCAGCACCAAGGGTGACACATTTTCCATGATTATCCTTTTCAGTGAAAGGCGCAAATATCATATTGTACCTATGAAAACAAACATTCTTATTAAGAAAATAGCTAAAACAATGCAAGGGAATAAACTACTAGAATGTATAATAGCCTGAATGAAAAACATAAACACAATTTATTAATAGTCTGTCAATCAACGAAATAGCATCACAATTTATTAAAAGTAGCACCATACGTTGTATAAAGTAGCACACATGCTAGGAAAAACAACTACACAGATTATTAAAAAAAAATGTCTTCAGGGTAATAAGCCTAACCTTAAATTGTATGTCTATGTTTATGGCCAATCAATAGAAAAAGATAACATAGCATAAACAAGTACCTGTTAGTTGAGTATGTAGCGTCAAATGAAATAACGTCACCGAAAGAGGCATAATTCTTTCTTGAAATTGGATCAGCCCAAAATAGTCGCGTCAATTTATCTTCTTTGTCAACATCATATTAAAAAAAAAAGGCCGAACAGAGTTCTCGCTTCCTAAAAAATTTTCCTAAAACCATCTGGGCATCAACCCCTATAGCATAAGCTTTCAAGTCTCTTGCAAAATTTTTAAAATCCACGCTAGTACATCCAACATTTGAGTATCCACCCACGACTTCTTTAAATAACTTGTACGATTGCATTGGTCCAATATTTGCTCTGGCGCAATTCAAGACAAAGTTTTGGTGACCGACATCCATATTTCTGCTCACTCGCATAAGATGTTTATGAATTTGGGAAGCTAAAGGATGAGAATGATACTCAACAAATTTATCAACAAC